CACGTTTGGTTCGAGTTCACGGTGTTTTTGTTAAACCACTATAATGTGTATAATGTATATTGCTAGATATGTGTTGTTCCAAAAAATTATTTTCTTTTTCGTGTACCTACAATAATATATTAATAATAATTAAAGAATCAGAATGCTGGAATCTGGCATCCGATTTTTTTTCAACCTAGTGTATATCCCTTGTCGTCGTGTAATAAATGTTCTATACTTTTTAATATTCGGATGCAATCATAAATTATCGCACTGGAAGAACAATGTTTTGAGAATAGGTTGATGTAATTTAGTGCAATTGAACGTAATATTACGTTAAACGTGTCGCCTGTAATAAAATAAGCGAATATCACGATTGCTTAAAAACGCAAAAAGAAAACGTATTGGAAAGCAGAAAATAACCGTCGATGTCCGTAAAAATGATCGTTAATGTTGTTTTTCTCAGCAAAAATAAAAAAAAACATTTCCAATGTATTTTCATTCCTTCTGACGGATGGTTATCGCGACCAACGTAGAAAAATTTCGAATAATCATCTCTAAAATAATTGTTAGCATCCGTTTCCCGATCTTCTCTGCGTGAAACATTCGGAGCCAAGTCTCGTCGCGACAAACAAAAACCGTGTCGTAATAACAAGACCAATCCGGTGCCCGCACTACTACCGTTCGCGATTCGAGAGGGACGCGCCGAAACGCACATGAACACGATTGCATTGAGCGAGTATACAAGTATATTACCATACCTTATCGAAAACTAGTCTATCCTCATACTTTTTGTTTAACTTGTTCGCTCTTGCACATCTGATATCAAAAGTTCACAAGTTTCCATATTGAATAGTCGATTACGAACGGCAGCTACGTGCGCGGTAACAATAACAAAATGATTTGTTTTTCAAATTGTCCCACGAATTCGATCTCACGCTTGTGCGGCACCAGGTACATTGGAAACTCTGACGCGTAACCACTGGTTCGTATATTTTGGTCGAGCAGCAACAGCGACTGCAAGGGCCCGGCGGGGTCTGGACACGTCGTCGCCCGCACATCGATCCGAAATATCCCCGCGCGCGAACGACGGTGAACAATGCTCATAATATATTATAATATTGTACATATATTGTAATGTATATAATAATTTTGTGCCAGCGGCGGTGGATCCGTTTCAAAAATTCGATCAAACCTTTCCCACGTCGAACGCGGTACATATACCAACCGACCGGACCTGCGTTAACGTTATGAGCACCGGGTTACCGGACGGATCCCTGCTAGAATCGATTTATATCGATCTTTGTTGTTCGCACGAAACTCGCTGATTTTCATTGTTTAACATTTCGGATGTTTCTCAGTACGTCGACACGTGTAGTTCACGGAATCGTTCACCACGTTATAATGGCGTTTTAATTATTTGATTTTAATCATTTTCTTTACTCGTCCCGTGCACATTGATGAAAAGCAGCACTATTAGGTTATCGGAACGATAATGCATAATATAACGAATAACCATGTTCGTGTAGCACAGAGGAAACCGTTAAATGGAAAACTCTTTAAACGTGTGTTAACAATTTTCTTAGTCTACATAGATTTCTGTTCCTTTGTCATTTTAAACGAACGGAGTACGTATAAAGCATTTTCTCATAGAACCATTATTTTTGTTTTCAAGTAACTGCATTATGATGTAATACTTTATTGATGCTCTAATGAATATTACGAACCCATTAAAATGTCCTCTCGAAACATGTGTCGTTTTCATGTTGAACGTAGGCGCAGTCACTATATTATTATTGTCCGATCGATATAAAGTAAGAATAAGCATATTTTTATTTAAATATCTTTTCTTTTTCTTTTTTCCGATACTCTGTCGACGTACACATTCGGTACACGCTGGTTCGAGGATAACGTTCGGGTTTTTATTTCGCACTTTTTTCGCCGCCCTTTCGTAAAAACAGGCTGTTTGCTCGCATTTAATTGGCTCGTTAAGTTCAATATTATAATTTTTCACTTTTAAGTGTTTATTATATAATAATATACAGATAACCGGGTTCGAAATAATGGTGCACGGTATTTTCACCCGGATAAAAACCGTTTCACATTATATGGATTTGATGTTGTTATTTTTTTTTTTTTTTAATATTTTTTTTAATATGCATAGAAAATTTAAACAGGAAAAAATGTTTTTTTTTCCAAGTCTGACCGTATTTAAAAAATAACGCAAAAATTATTTTAATAATAACAATACTGTAGTGCACTTAGGAGATACTGTACCGTATACCTTAGTCGCATTGCGTTGTTATTATTTTAAACCGGAATGCAAGAGCAGAAAAAATGCCGTTGGATACGTGTTTGCGAATTATTATATCCATGGGTGTATTATGTATACCTATATTCGTTATCCGTACACATTCCTACTTTATGTAGACCGAGGACCCGTAGAAAGGATTGCCATTTTCCTCTTTTTCCACGACGGTGTGGTATTTATATATTTTTATTACATTGATAATGTGATTGATTTTTCACAATCGCAAAATATTATAACGCGTGGGTTTCGAACATATCAATATAAAGTGTGTTTCACTCAAATAGTAACACGAAATATTTCTATCTCGATACCTCGGATTGAAATGGGTATTTTTCAGAGGGAGACAGAGAATACTGAAATACACATTTTTTGGCGATTTTCAAATTTCTAATTCTTTCAATGCGCGCATGTGCAACAATTTTATTATTATTATTATTTTTTTTTTTTTTATAGCAATAGGTATATTTAACTCCAGATTCGAATAGACCAAATTTTTTTTAAGCATTTTTTTAACTATACAATTTTTCTATGTAAAAAATTGGCTGATTTACAGCAAACGAAAGTTGAAATAAAAAAAAACATTTGCTCAATTTATAAAGATTTCAAAATGTCTGTATTTTTTTCATTATAAAATGATTTATGATTGAAAACAGGGTACTTGGAAGAAGGAATTATAAAGGTTACTTATTTTAACTAAAAGATAAATTTTAATTTTAATTTTAAACCATTTATAACACAAAATAATCATCGCCATCTTATGAATTGTTCGAAATGTTTTCCATTATGTTGTAAACATGCTTCTAGACGTTGTATGACTTTATCTGGAGTAGCTGCCATAATTTATTAATTTGTCAGTTGTTGTGCGCATGTTTAGGTGATTTTTTGTTTTAAAAATGCTGGAGATTATTCGATGTGTTAGCATAAACTACAGATTTTAAATGTCCCTATAGAAAAATAAATCAATTGGTGTTAAATTAGGTTAGGGTAAAATTACATTCTTTGGGCAGATGAAAGTAAATCACAAATAATGGTGTGATAAATAAACAAAATAATCCTTTTTAGAGAAGGAATAATTCACATTGGGCAATCGAAAACAAACTAAAAATGAACTGATTGCGGTGACTATATACTCAAGATTAAATCATACAACGTTTAGAAGAATGTTTTTTAACATAATGGACAGCATTTTAAAAAAATTCATCAGATGATGATAAGTATTTTGTGTCATAAGTTGTTTAAAATAAAATAAAAATTTAACTTTTACTTAATTCAAGTAACCAATACCTTTTTACGTAAGACTTACACAAGACATTGAAAATATTTAATCATATTATATTCACAATCGCATTACAACGGGATTTGAAATGAATAGCGGGTTATATTAATATTTAATATAATTCGTTTACAGAACAAAGATGAATTATACTTTTTACCATATAAAAGTATTTATAATACTTTAATAAAATAAATATATTTAATAATATTTAATCTCAAAAAGTATTTTTTTTTAAATATGTATCGTATAGTATATATATAACAAATATTTAATACGAATATATATATGAGTATATAACGCTTATTTTGTATTATATTTATGCTGAAAATTGATTATTTTTTTTATGTCCTTTAGAAATATTGAAAAATAAAATATTCAACAATATTTAAATTCGGTTCGGTTTAGTTATAGATTTCATTACAAACTGCCAAAGTTTTGTTCGTCATCGATTTATTGGAGTTTAAGTTTCACCTATTATTGTATCTTTATAGACAAGAAATAAATAATTATGTAAAAGCTGAATGAAGAAATCCTAATATTATTTTATAGTTATGATATGAGTATGTACGTGTACTATTTCACAAAACGTTTAAGTTCATTTTGATTCCGAAAGAAGACCGTATACACTATATTATACTTTTAAGTATTATGAAGTTTTAAAAAGCAACAATAGTAGTACTACATTAAAATTGAAAAAATCTTTTTATCACTTTAAAAATACTTCAAATTGTTTAGAGGCTTTGACTTTGAAAACTAAAATAATTCTTATTGGAATTCAATTTAATAACATTTCCTCATACAATAAATACGAATCGTAATATTTAAATTACATGTACATAATTTAAATTCATTAACCAAGATGATGTACTTCAAAACATTTGTATTTTAAATGCATTTTTGATTTAAATAAGTAATTTATATTTCATAGAAAAATATCACAAATAAAAAATATACCTAAGTATGTATAATAAACCATTCAAGTTATACGAGTAGTATAATAAACTAAAATTATATAAGTAAAACATACAATAATATATAGCGTTACATACGTTGTGATAACTTCAATGTACTTTTGTAAACGTCATATTATCATATAATAGTACTTATAATAAAGTTAAAGTGACAAAACATAAAAAGGCTCTTGATAAAAACAATGAGTAAATACATCTGCATAAGTAAAATCATATAACACTTTAATAGTTATATAAACTTTATATTGATAGATTTTGCTTCTTTATCACAGAAGAAAATAAAAATTTTCAATTACACACATTATGTTTTTGTCTACATAATAAGTGGAAGGTATATATTTATATATCTGAAAACCGTAAAAATATTTATAATATTATAGTGAACCAACATATACCTATGCTGTATAAGTTTTTTAAACAATATTAATTTAATTTCTGTAAACGTTATTTTCATTGATATTATAACGTTTGTTATGTATATCGAATAGTTAAAATGATAACACTTATACTCTTATAATAGTTAGTGTAATAATAATAATAATAATAATATTATAATCTGATAAAAGATCGATTGAAATTAAGATTGAAATGATTACTGTGTATACATAAATTTATCACAAGAAAATATAGAACAGTCGATGGAGAAGGGCGGGGGATTAGTCCCGCCGACCTTAAGGGTTTCAAATACCGTGACCCTGGAAGCGTATTATAAACGTTCGTTTTTGTTACGGCAGAATTGGGAAAATACAAAAATACATCATATATAGGAATACTCATATCGAAGAAAAGTAATAATTGTTTTTACGACGGCCACTGCCTTCTCGCCAATCACTCAAAATAGATCTACGGCCAATACAAAGTCGGCTTAAATCATCGATTGGTATACCTATCTGCTATAAATATCACATGGTTACTGAACCGTGTGGTTTCCAACTCTGTCCCTGTAAAGAAGTTCAAGGATTGTATTAGGCGTATCAACATAATACATTATAATGTACACGTGTAGAAATCGTATACGAATGTAAGATAATAAATAAAGGGGATTATAGAAAACGTCAAGTAATTGTAATTATTGTTGTTGTTTGACTTAGAGCACGTGGAGGTTGCCACAAGATTTTGACTTGGAGTCCAGCAAACACATTTTCTGCAATATTTCTTTTGCGATATGTAACGAAAGTGAAGTTTTCGATCCGTGGATGGCCGTCTTCCGTTGGTTCTGTTTCTTTTTGTCCCTAGTTTCGCGCAGGCGGATTTGTTTCAAAACGCCGACCAACAGTTCATCCACATTGTGTTGAATACCGCTTGAAGTTTCAATGAACTTACACTCCCTCGAGCATGCCAATTGTTTACCTTCTGAAACAGATGGGGAAAAATGCCTATTTAGAATCTAAAAGTAACTATTTCTTCCTCTACCATCATAGAGGTATTTGAACGGTGAACTTAATCCGGACATTTAATAACCTCAGAACAAACATAAAATGTCGTTTTAATCAAAAAGTCACACATATTATGCATATTACATACATATAATTTATATCCAAAAATTCAAACTATTAAACGATATAAAAATAACAATAACAGTTTTTGCGTTTGTTATAGTTGAATTAAATTGCTCCAGAGTAATATCATTAATATTATGCATGGTGTATAGTAACGCTATAATCCAGAAATCTGTAGTTATGAATTATTTAACCGAATAAAATACATGTGTACAGTGAATATTTTATTGACTCGCGGAAAATCGTGTATTTCTATACGTACGGAATTTGCGTAAAACAGGTGAGCCGCAAGCTATTGAGCTGCCTAGGTGGAAAAGGAGAAATTATACCAGCAAGCGGGTCGTTATTTCAAAAGTGAGGGGAATGCAGAGCTGGGGACGCACGCTTTCTTTACAAAGACAAAGAACTTCAAACAAGCACTTGCACTTGAAATTCGTAATATTGTTTATAAATATTAATAATTGTGTTAACATAAATAATGGGAAACTACAAAATGGATACTTAGAACATTGAATCCAAAGAGTATATTTTAATATGTTACATAACATTAAACCAAATTCTCGTCATGGGCTGTACATATAATACATATATTTTATTATTTTACACTTTATCAACGTTAATTTACCTTCTAATATAGTTTTTAATTAATTAAAACTGTATTGATGTCAAACAAAATACTTTAATGTTTGGATTATAAATATTTGTTAAATATGTTTTACAAATATTAAAAATGTATTGGTTTTACAATTGAAAACCGTATATAGGTAATATTGGTAGTAATACCGATTGTATAAAATGGAGTTGAAAAAAATAGTTTAATGTAATACTATCTTTTGTTTTTTTCTTAAATTCATTTAATGTTTAATTAAAACCTGATCAACGCTCTAATTTCAATAAACACGAATTATGTTTTTCATACGGACATATTTTATTTAAAATCCTCTAGGATCTTTTAAAACGTCATTCGAGGTCATATCAGGCCTTTATTAACGATATATTTATTATATCCTTAAAAAATGACACTTGTAAACATATATAAAATACCATTATATTTGATTATAAACCATTCAGTGAATTTGATGTATCTCCGAGTTTTAAACTTTTAATTTATATTTAAATTCTTTACCTTCGGTAGTAATGCATCTTGCTCTCATTAGGTCAGCTTTATTACCGACTACGATGACAGTCTTCTCGCGAGAATAATTCTCTTGCCACAAATAATTTAAGATTTCTTCAGCCACTTTGAACGATCCTTTGGAAACTACCGAGTAAATAACAATGCAAGCGTGTGGTTCATAAGTAGCAATTGAATTTTCTACCTGAAATCAATTTCATATCATGTCAGTTTTTGATAAGCAGTCATGGTGTACGCACATTATTTCTAATCCTTTATCTATATTTTTTACAAATTATAACAGTTTCACGCGCTGTTTGTATAGTAAATATAAAACGCGGTCAAGAAATAACTATTACCTGTACTTCTTGTAAGAATATTTTTCATTTTAATTGTACTTATTTAAAATAAGATGATATCCACTATTTAAATAGTGTAAACAAATCTTGGTTCAAATGCATTAAAAAAACTAAAATAATCTGTTCTAATTGTCATTCACTTTCAACATTTCATCTTATATCAGACGAATCATTAGATCTTAAACTGGTCTGAAATAAATTTGATTCCATAAAACTCGAACAATCCAAACTCATTAGCTTCGTTAATAATCAAAATGAGGAAATTGATGTATTCGAAAAAAAATTTAAAAGAAAAATTTGTTCTGGAATAATTTCAATACTATAGTCAAAAGAGTTGTTTCTTTTGAAAAAAAAAACCCCAAATGAAGACCTATTTTCTGATTTCACTGATTGCCTATCTCGATCTAAAAACATTATTGTATTTAATATCCCTGAAGTCCCTATTGATTCCAGCAACTCTGGTATATCAACAGTTAACCGTATTTTTAATACAATTTCTTAGGGCATTAAAGTAATTACTATGCAACGACTTTGTAAGTCAGGGAAAAACCCGTCAGTTGAAAATTTCCTTAAATTAAACTTTAGGTGTTTTTAATATCTTGGGTTCATCTTAACAGTTAAAATCGGATCAAATTTTTAATGAAATTAAAATCATAAGTGATAAGACTCCTAAACAACGCATGTACTTTCAAAACATTCGAAAAAAAACTAGATATCCGTTCCAATAGTGAAGCAAACATCTCAATCGAATACATCAAGAGCATTCCATCAATCATCTCTACTTCCGGTCATAAAAGAAATCCCGAACTTCGTCTTTAATACGAAAATGTTAGAAGTTCAGTTTCAAAAATGAATACTCTTATCCCTCTTTTGAATATATCTTGCTTTGATACCTTTGGTTTCTCTGAAACTTATCTTTCCTGTAGTATTTATAATCCCTAATGAAATTGTAATAACTACACAATCTATTATTTTGAAATATCTCCTTGTAATAATTCTAGTACACGAGTATTAATTTTAGTCAATTTTGCATTAAAAATTTAAGCTTTAACTGTTTCTATTAAATGTGCCAAACAAGTATTTGGTAAAATTATTTTCGATTTTAATATTTTTATCTTTGGGTACATCTAAATGCCTTCCTATTCACTTATCTCTACCTACGAATTATTTTTCTCGGCTATAAATGAATTATATTTATTTAATTCCAAAGGAAAAATAATTTTATTAGATGATTTTAACTTACTGTCATTAAATTGGATTTTATATCACTAAATTTTAATTCGCAATTAAAATCTTATTTGATTAGTAAATAATCACACTTAAATTTAAATCAATTCAACTTATTACGTAATTGTAATAATGTTATTTTTGATTGTATTTGAACAAATGTTCACATTTAAATTACTAATAATATAGATTCATTATTATTTATATAATGAATAATTTATTACATACCTATTTATACATATTTTTTTTTAAATTTTTGGAAAACGTATGTCATTTCTATAATTGAAAGAAAAAAAAGTGATTCAACACTAATTTCTAACAATCGTTCTATTTTTGAATTACATATTATTCCAAAACTTTTTTCACTTTTAATTTCATTAAAATTATCAACTTTTTCCTCTTTCATAGACAAAGATCATTATGGTATCTACCTCGTCGATCTACTAACAATATTTTCGCTGTAACAAAAAATATAATCCTTAATTCTTTTGAAATTAATGATCGGACAAATATAATCTATACTGACTTTTCTAAAGACTATGATCAAGTTAACTGTACAATTTTATTTCATAAATTACATCATTTTAGTTTTTCTGGCTCTTTACTAAATTGACTCCATTCATTTTTATTGAACGCACACAAATTTAAAATATCTGAATCTATTAAATTTCTTGTTTCTCCAAATGTTCCCCAAAGAGACCATTTATTATACATACATTATTTGACACTCCTTTTCAATATATTCGATATTTTCAATAACTCGTATTGATGATCTAACCAAAGTTATTATTAACTATAATAGTTTTACTTTTGCTGATGAAGCTAAACTAATAAAGATTATAAAAACTAAACAAGATGAAATTTATCTTCTTTTTATTCATGTTCCTCTTCTATCGAGAGTTGGAAATCAATTAATAAAGGTTACAAAATCTTTGTCCTTGGCTGAACTAAATAATTCTCTAGAGTTGTATTGAAACCACTCTCTTATATTTTGCATCCAGTTTGTTCTAGGTCTCTCCTTGCACTTCTTCCCGCAAATTATAAAAATAAAGCTAATAAAATTTCTCAACTTTTCACTGTGAAAAGACTGACATTATAAAAGACATAAATTTTTACACTCTAAATGTCTTCATAAATTAATACTAGGTGATATTGAATTCCCAGAAATCTTATCCTTAGTACGCTTTAGAACTAACTGCTTCAATACTAGAAACTCTAAACCATTTTATTCTTTTTCTTCTAATAAAAATTATATTTTAAATTTCCCAGCTTACCTATTAATAGGTGCTGACAAAAATTTTATTTATGATTATTTATAATTGTATTTTTCTTCTTTACTTTGTATACTATATTATTTTTATATTATTTTCTCATTATACTCACTTCAATATTTTCATTACGATAAGATATTTGTTCACTATGTATATTATAGTTTACCACCAATTTATAATTTTATAAAAGGTTTCACGATCGTATATTTCATTCAATAAATAAATAAATAAATATAATATTTATGAATTGTTATGAAATGTATTACGGTCAAAATTAATAATAATAAATTAATTTATGGATTCTACGAACAAATTATTGTTACCGATTATTATTATTTATTTAACAAATGTTTTATACACGAATTATGTTTGTTACATTATCGTTTTTAATTTTATGGATTGAGTGTTTATTGCCATAAAATATTCACTCTATAATAATAATAGTTTATATCATAAAAAAAATTATATGTGCCTATATTTATTGAAAGCTGCTAAAGATATTAATAAATGGGTATTTCATTAATTTATTAATCTGAAGATCAAATTAAATATACTAATTTATCAGGTAAACTAATATTCAAAATAATTAATATTATTAACCAATATTTCCATCAATAAATGTTTCTTTTTTTTTCATCTACACGATCAATAATATTTATCAATATATTGTTCAGTTTTGGTCAAAATGTCTAACAAAGAGAATGTGATTATTACTATTGCTCAATAATATTGACAATCGATCAATAAATATCAAAATAATTTTAATTGTTTCATTATATTGAACATATCTTCACATGATCCTTACACAGTCAATATTATTGTCAATATCAAATATTGATGGTGTATGGGCCGCTTAAACTTATTTCCAAAAAAATTTTTACATTAAAAAAAAAAAATGATTTAATTCATAAGCACTTTCGTTATTACATACGTGCATGTTTATGCGTATGGATTGAACAAATATATATACAATTGTTTATTGATTATAGAAAATCTATTGTTAGTAAAAGCATTATTCTTATGTTGTTTTATGCTGAATTATTTTTGGATACAGAATAAAGAATATTAATTAAATGGTCCTGAGTAGAAAACATTATTTTAAAAATATTTTGAATATAATGCTGTATAAATAATAAATAAATAAAAGTTTTATTGGAAAATGTAATTCTAATATTTAAATATCATAGATGAAAATACTTTAAATAAGTCATTTTACTTAAACTATTAATATTATATTATACAGGATCCGTCCAATAGTTTAAAACCATTTTACATTCGATATACCTAAAAAGTGCACTAAAACTTGAAATTAAAATTAGACACCACGGGTATGCAGATTTTAATAACTGGACAAAATTATATTGAATGAATTTGACTCTACCACGTAACCGATTATGATAAATTACGAATAAATTACGATAAATAATAGATATTATATAGCTGATTCATAGAGTATAATTATACAGATAAAGTACCAGATATTGGTCGTTGTAAAATATTTCTTTCAATTGTGTATATTTTATTACGTAGAGAAAAAATAATGTTTAATAATACATTTTTGTCTGGAGTAGTATTAATAACAAAAATCTATGTACATTAAGTACGTATAAGTATGATTACAAAATACAAATCAAAATCAGCTAAATGATCGAGTTTAGATAAAAGATTTAAAATATCTATTTGTCTACAAAAATGTGTATCAATAGATCAAAACTATTATTTATTATTTATATAATTTATTATTTTTATGCATTATCTAATTTATATTATGTCATGTAAATTTGAAACAAAATAATTATTCTTATACTACTAAAATATAGAATAATATATTTTTGATGATTATAAGAACAAAAAGTATTCATACTTCATAAGTACATTTTAAGTAATTAAATTATAAGTAATAACAAATGGATAAAAGTAATTTTTAATGTTTTATATGTGTTATTTTTTTTATTTTCGTACATATCTTTGAAATCGTGTTTAAATATAATGATTTTTTTATCTTTCATCATGTGTTATTCGTTTGAATAAGTTTTTATTTCGAATTTTAAAACTATTTCAGATGATTAGTATTAAGTAAGTGGTGTATCAATGATTCTTAGTGTCAGATTGAAATATAATAAGAATAGCTTTTATCATAGTTTTCAAATTAAGATACTCAGTAGTTTAAATATTTGGGCGATTGTATTCAATTTTGAGGAAGATATTGGTTATAATCATATATTTTTTTTAAAAAAAATAATCATTAATTTTGGGTTTTTCATATAAAATTTATAATTTTGAAATTAAAATACTTGGTTGTATTATTTTAATTTTATTTAATTGTTAAACTTCCTCTATAGTTGCAA